TAATAATCGTAATAATAATAATAGGGATGCGCCAAGGCATCGGATCCCTAATCTGAGGATGAACCACCGAAAAAGCTGGGGCTTCAAGCGTCTCGCATGGCCGTCTTCCCACGCATCCTGCTATTATTATTACTATTATTATTGTTACTATTATTATTACTATTATTACTATTATTATTATTACTATTACTATTATTATTATTATTACTATTATTATTTGGTCTTCTCAACACGAAGTTTCCCAGATTTGAATGCAGACAAGGCTTTGGGCTTCGGATTTTAGAATCGGGCTCCGGATTTCAAGCCTTTTTCAAAAATTCAGGTTTGGGGTTAGGGATCGTAAGATTCTGTCTTGCCGGCTCCTGTTGAACAGCCCGCCCTCCAGCACGGGTGGTGATTCACAGTGGCGATTGCTACTTAGAGTGCTACTCTTGGCAGTATGTTAGGGGTCCATATTGGGGCCGCCTTTGAATGGAAAACCCCCACCTAGCAGCAAAACAGATGTCGCTCACAACCAACCAGATGATATTGGTAGCAACCCTGGGCAGCGGCCGCAAATGTCCAAAGGGGTTTAGGGTTTTTGCAAGAACCCTAAACCCTAAACCCTAAACCCGAAACAGTTCTCAAAGCCAAAGGGGAGGCGCATGAAGGGTCAGTAGGACTTAGCAAGTATACCCATGACCGCTACAACTCAAGCAGTAACCCCAGTTATCCCCATCATGACTTCTTGTTAAGGGGCCCAGACGACCCTGCAAGAAGAAGAAGGCCAGGTAGGCTGTTTAGGATCTACAGTTTACGGTTTCGGGTCAGCCCTAGACCCTAAACCCTGACGCCTAACTAGGGAGCCCCAGGTGGTAAGGCTCTTCTGTAGGGTTTAGGGTTTAGGAAAGGGGATGACGGAGGGTATTCGGGATTAGAGAGGCACTGTTCAGAAATCGCATTTCATTCGACTTTCGCTGCCCAAACCAAACGCAGAGGGGCTCCTACCCAAAGATCTGGAAAAACCTACACTGGCCTATGCCCGCAAAGTCTCGTGAGGCTCATCTGGCGATGGCCATGGAATTCTGCATTTTCAGCATATGAGCTGTAGTCTAAAGTCCTTAAAGGGGATTGTATCGGGGTCTATAATATAGAAAATATTATAGGGCAAATATTAAGTTGGATACCAGGAGTTTAGACTATGGCTCATATAATGCGCGAGTATTCTGGGTGCGCCTCTCATGCGCGATACAGCAGAAAAAATCTTGTACCCCCAGCATCCGCTGAAAAAGCAGTCGAGAAGACCAGGCTTTCGAATGAAAACCCTAACTCTAGACCCTATACCCCAAGATAGTATGGTAGTTTCCATGTTCTTTTCCATTCGACCTCTTGCATTATAAAATCTAGTCCCCGTGCTCGTGTCATGAAACATCGCCACAATGCTTCACGCCATCAATCCTGGTGGCTTAGTCTCAGGGACACATGGAGACAACCGCAAGGGGCAAGGCGCAATCGGCACTGGCCACAGAAAAGGAACCTATAACGCATTTCCGTGCCACGAGGAGATCTGCAGGAGGTCAGGAAGCCCAAGCCCTAAATCCCTGAATCCTTAAACCCTAAACCCAAACACTCCCAAACTCAGCGCTGGACATCCATAGCAATGGTCTGAGGGCGTACGGCGCATGCGCGAGAAAAGACTGAACAGATCAGACCAGCCCTGAACCTGTGATCCCCCTAGACCTATAGCAGAAAATCATGTTCAATACTCCCTAAGGTTTATACGGTTTTTACCATGACAAGAAGCGAAAATAATTCCAATCAGACTACAGGAACTAGCCCGGCCCCAGCCTGCAACTGCTCCATGATGTTCCCGCCGTCCACTGCCTTAATGGTGTTGCAGGACTAGCGGACTTAGGGTTTCGGGTTTAGGGTTCAGTGTTTTAGGGTTTTAGAGGTTAGGGTTTTAGGGTTTTTATGGGTTAGGGTTTAGGGTTCGTCTTTTAGGGTTTAGGGTTTTATGGGCGTAGGGTTTTTGGGTTTAGGGCTTAGGGTTTAGGAGGGAGAGCAGGAAGGGGAAGGTGCTAGTCGGGGTGGATCTTTGGATATTAACAGTTGGGTGAGGGTCACTTTGATTAAGGGTCCTGACGTGCACTACATGAGAGGTATACCTTTGAGCTAAGACTACTTATCACAGACAGACTATGTAGCACCTGAAGATGCGAGAACGAGTCCCCACACCACCCTCTTCATATCTATTTCAGAAAGCCTAGGAGACCGGAGCATCAAACCCTAAACCCTAAACCCCAAACAGTGTGGATCATCTTGGGTGCAGGTCATCTAAAAGGACTTCCCCAAGGAGACGCGAAACATAGGGGCTTAAACAACTACCAATATCATGTGGGTACTGCCCCCCCCCAGTAACAGTCGATATTAGGGGTCCTATTAAGGGCTATATATAACTATAAGATATTTATTATCCAACTGTTACTGAGTGGGGGCAGTACCCAAATATCATCATTAAGTCTTCCTGAGGTACCCTATACTGCATGTATGCAAGGAAGATGGGACCCTTAAGCCTAAAGCCCTAAACCTTGGGTACTGACCCCACCCAGTAACAGTCTATATTAGGGGTACTATTAAGGGCTAGATATAACTATATTATAACTATTATCCAACTGTTACTGAGGCGGGGGGGCAGTACCCAACCTAAACACTAGAGCCTAACCTCTAAACCCCGAACTCTAGGGTAATACCTGGCTGTAACTTGGCTATTCCCTGCCTCCCTCTACATTCAACCCCCCCTGATCTAAAAGCGCCAAGAGCCGGCCGCAATCTGAAAGTCAAAAAACACAACCAAACCCTAAATGCTAAGCCCTAAACCCCTAAACCCCAAAGCCCTAAAGCCTAAACCCTAACCCCTAAAACCCTAAAACCCTAAATCCCTAACCCCCAAATCCCTAAATCCCTAAACCCTAAACCCTAACGCCCTATAGTAAGGCCTCTTCACCTCCCCGTTCATCAGCTACTGCGGCCCATGCGCTTGCACCGCGTTGTCCAGGTGGAAGAAGGTGGGGCCTCGGGTGGAGAAGTTACTGGGGTTTAAGGTTTAGGGTTTAGGGGCATAAGGGTTTAGGGTTTAGGGGTTTAGGATTTAGGGTTTTAGGGCTTAGGATGTAAGACTAAGATTTAGGATTTGGGGTTTAGGGTTGTCGAGTGTAAGGCTTTTAAAGCGTTAGGGCTTCAAGCTAAGGGTTTAGGGTTACGAAGAGAAAAAAAAGGCGACCTGGTGCACTTTGAACCGGAAGGGCTGACCCGGCGCAGTGCCTCAAGTTCATGTCTGAAAGCAGGAAAGAACTTCACCATTCTACGTTAACGGCTTAGGGTCAAGGCCTAAAGGCTTAGGATTTAGGGTTTAGGGCTGAGGATTTAGGGGTCTATCTTCTTATCGCGTGTGCAAACATCATCCTAAAGCGCCTGATCCATCCGGGCGTCTGGCCACATCAGCTGCTCTGCATATGCACCGGATCCTGTCCAGGCAGTGGCGCCACAAAGCGACTGTGACTAGGGCTTAGGGTTCCCAAAACTAACATGAAAGAAAGTAAAAAGGAATCCTTTGTAGACCCGTATCCTTTTCCAAAGCTAAACTCCTAAGAGAAAGAGACACCAACAACAAAGCAGGCTTTCATTGTAGTGGTAACTTGGTAACCACAGTAGGCTCCCTCAACAGCAACCCACCCAGTTTCAGATTCGAAGGAAAGTGATTGCCCTGCTCTTTCGCGGCACAACCTCTGAGGTCATCACCGCCCACCCCCAAACCTAAAACCCTTAAACCCTAAACCCTTAAAACCTAAACCCTAAAACCGCGAAATCCTAAAACCCCAACCCTAAAACCCTCAACCCTGAAACCCCTAATCCCTACTATTAACTGTAGTCTCCTTAGACCCCTAATACGAACACTCTTTTTAACATACCTTTAGGGCTATACTATAGTAAAATTTAGAAATAATTCCTAAGGACAGTACCCTGAAACCCCATGCCTAAAACCCTCAACCCTGAAACCCTCTAAAACCCTCAACCCTAAAACCCTAAACCCTCCTAAACCCTAAACCCTTAACCCTAATCCCTTTTTGTTAGGGGGATTGTGGCGGAAGTCGCTTTCAAAAGCAGAGGCTTGGCACCCGCCTTGCCCTCGCTGGGCTTCAACAGCTGCTGAGCCTGGCGGCCATGCTTTGACTTTAGGGTTTAGGGGTCTAGGGCTTAGGGTTTAGGGGTTTGAGGTCTTAGGCTTGAAGGGGTTAGGGTTTTAGTGATCTGGAGTTTAGGAATTTGGGAATAGAGTTTTAGGCGTCCAGGGTTTAGGGTTTTAGGGTTTAGGGTTTAAGGCTTAGGGTTTAGGGTTTAGGGTTTAGGGTTTTAGGGTTTGGGATTGAGGGTTTCGGGCAGTATCTCAGAAAAAGGGCTCTGGGGGGACCCTACTCGGAGGTTCATGGGACTTCGTACTGATAGCTGGGGCTATAGTCTCCTTGAATCCTAAACCGTAAACCCTATGGTATTAATAGGGGCTAACCGAAGAAGGTGTAGTGCTAACTCGCAGTTGTGAGTAGCTACCACATCTGATAAACCTCCGGTTTAAGGTTCTGGGTTTAGGGTCGCCATTTGGGTTTCTTCTGGGTTGAGGATTTAGGGTTCAGGGTTTAGGGTTGAGAGTTTAGGGTTTAGGGTTGAGGGTTTAGGGTTGAGGGTTTGGGATTTAGGGTGTCTAGAACTCCCCTGCAGCTCACTTGAGCAGAAATGTCCACGTGGGACAGCTCCCTGGGCCCTCTCTGCATTTCCCATGATGAATCCGGCTCCTTGCTGTGTTATTACTATGCCAATGCCAGAACCTCATGTCACATTTCTTGTTCGTACTATCATGTACTTTAAGGAGAAATAAAACTCATATCCCACAATGATCCTCAAATCCCGACCCCAATTCCCTAATCCCCAAGCCCTAGACCCCTAAACCCTGAACACCTACACTCCTAAACCCTGAAACCTAAACCCCTAAACCCTTGACCCCCGAGCCCTCAAACCCCCAAACCCCCACTTCAATTTCAAGGAGCCTGGATGCAGGCTTGGGGTAGCGGAGCATCAGGCTTCATGTTGGCCCAGCGCTGGAGCAACTCCTACAAACACTATGATTTAGGGCTCAGGGTTTAGGATTCAGGGCTTCGGGTTTAGGATTTAGGGTGTAGGGACTTGAGGGCGGGCTTAGGGTTTAGGCAAGCGGTCCCAGAAAGATACGGGCATGTCCCAAAACAGGGACACCCCTTATCTTGCGAAAATTCTATACCACGGAGCATAATCTTGAATATAAAATTCCCTGATAGGATGACCCCTGGCTATTTTTGGAACCACCCATCAGCCATATGGGGGCTAAACTAGAACATGAGCAGGGAAGGAGTCAAGAAGCCTCTGAAATCATAAAAGTGCACTTTGCATAGATGTCAGGATGTGCGGTCCCACCTAAACCCTTAACCCTAAAATCCAAAACCCCCAACAAACCCCTTTAAAAATCCTAAACACTGAATCCCTCTAAACCCTACATCCTAAACCCTGAACGAATCCCTGTAGACCCTACATCCCTAAACCCTAAGCCCTAAATGGATCACTCTAAGCCCTACATCCTAAACTCTAAAATAGATCTCTCTCAACCCTCAATCCTAAACCACAAGCGAATCTCTCTAAACCCTAAATCCTGAGCCCTAGACGAGTCCCTTGGCACGCCCTGCCTGCAACACCACGCAGCGACGGGCTTCTTCGGCGAAAGCCTCCTCGCCGCGACGCTCCTTCTGGTTGGCTAAGGAATCTGGGAGTTTCCCAAAATTCGGGGTACCCTTTAAAGGGGTTATATAGGGGTTCTATAGGGGTATATGGGGATATATGGGGTTTAGGGATTAGGGTTTAGGGTTTCCCAAAACCCTTTTTAGGGGTCCCTATCATAAGGACTATAGTATTTTGGGGTCTATATTGGGGTCCCCTTATTTTGGGAAACCACCATATCGCTAGGGTTTAGGGTTTGGGGCTAGTGGCAAAAGCAATAAAATAGTAAAAGTAAGAGTCAGAATGATGATAGTACATGAGTAAAATTAGCTGGTATAAAAGAAGTCATAGTCACAGTTAAAGTGATAGTGATAGTGATAACGGCGCAATGGCTCTCGTTCTCTTAAGGTAACTGCAATAGCAACTGAGTTGATACCCAGAACCCTGCATGAACCTGAGTACTCTAAGCCTTGGGCATTATGTTGCCTCATCAGAAAAAGGTCAAGCAAACATGTTCACATCAGCAGGAGTAAGAGGAACAAGTGTAGTAGCACCCTAAACCCTAAATCCTAATAGTAACCGTAAGAGTAAGAGTAATTGGCTAAAGCTTTGGGGCTTGGGGGCTTCAAAAAATGGCTTCTGGGTTTAATTAATCTAAACCCGAATCCATGAAGAAACCCTAAACCCTAAGTCCTGAAGGTTTAAGTTCTACTCTGAAAGTCAGAACGCAAGGCTTTGGCAAATGAATTTGTCCGTACGTAGGTTCTCGTGAGCATTCAACGAGCTTCCAGGGAAATAGGGCTACTTTGAACTTATAGAGAACTTTCGTGTCTCGTAGCAGGTTAGGATTTTGACCTAGGGTAAACAGAATCAAAGAGCTCTCTAAAAAGAGCCCTAGGAGTCCTAGGAGGGTAAGTGCTCTTTGATGTCTTGGGTTTCTATTCCTATTATGGTCATAAAATCCTAACCTGTCTCGTAGTAGACCTACCTAGCTAAGGGGACTCAGGGTGGTCATGGGGTGGGGTGACTGCTACGCCGCTACGAACGGGTGCGAGCGACCTTGGTGTGTTCACACCAGCGAGCACCTAGGGTTTAGAATTTAAGGGTTTAAGATTAAAGGGTTTAGGATTTAGAGGTTTAGGATTTAAGGGTTTAGGTTTTAGGGTTTAGGATTTAAGGGTTTAGGGTTATCCCTACATAACCTCTATGAACCCCGAAGTAACCCCTAAGACCCAACGGGCCGGAACCCCAAGAACCCTATGAAAAGCCGCTTAAAGCTCATTTCCCATTCTTTTTTCCATGCGATTTAAGGCTTAGGGTTTAGGGTTTACGGCTTAGGGCTTAGGGTTTAGGGTCAATATCCCTAAGACCTGGACCCTAAACATTAAAATCCCCTTTATAGGGACCTAGGGTTTCCATGGAATTGGCCATTCCCTTTTCCATGGTGATGTCCATTCTTGCGAGCAATATCCCTACTAAGCCTGGAACCCTAAACCCTGTGGTCCCGCTTAAGTGGATAGAATATGGGGTATATGGGCCACCCAAAGCCATATTCCATCTACTTAAGGGGGACTATGAGCCTTGAACCCTAAACCCTAAACCCTAAACTGTAGGAGGCACTAAAGCCCTAAACCCTAAACCCTAAATCCTAAACCCTAAACCCTAAACCCTAAACCCTCAACCCTAAACTGTAGTAGCTTCCCATGCTTGAGCTCCTCCGCCGAAGTTGCCCGAAGAACATCGGTCAGTCGCGTGCGCAAGGCTTCAGCGCTCGTGGCCTGCCACTGCAGCTCCTGATAAGAAAAGGATTTAGGGTTTAGGGTTTAGGGTTTCAAGTGTAGTAGTGGGAGAATGGAAAATAAAATGGAAACTACAGGGGTTATAGGGTACAATTCTTAAGGGTTTATATAGGGTTTAGGGATTATATAGGGTTTCAAGTGTAGGGTTATATAGGGAATAATGGAAAAGAAAATGGAAACTACTATAGAATTTTAGGGTTTAGGGTTTAGGGTGAAAGGGTTTGAAGCCGGGGTTGGTCCCTAAAACCCTTTGAAGAATACTAATATATGGGGTCCCCTATTTTAGGGAAAACATTAAATATCCCAGGGGCCTACCCAGAGTGTAGGGTTTAGGGTTTAGGGTTTAGGGTCAGGATGTGGGGCTTGGAGTGTAGGGTTTAGGGTTTGGGGCTTGTAGAGTGGGGTCAGGGTTTGGGGCTTGGAGTGTGGGGTTAGGGCTTGGAGTGCAGGGTTAGGGTTTGGGGGCCCGGAGTGTGGGGTTTAGGGTTTAGGTGGTTCGAAGGGACCCTCTCGGAAAGTAATATGGGACCCGAAAGGTCGCCTTTCAGAAGGACGGTGGATTAGGGCTTAGGCTTTAGGAACCCCATTTTCAGGCATCATGCTAATTCGAAGAAGGGTATTGGTGGTGGGTTTAGGGATTTAGGGTTTAGGGATTTAGAGTTTAGTGTTAGGGGCTTAGGGAACTGCTTTTTGATACAACTGTAGCAACTGTACCGGGAGATGCCTCTTTCTCCCGTACGGGTCGACTCCAGAAGTAATATGTATTTACGGTACTATCTGTTCCCGGCAAGTAGGTAGGAGTATGGATTCTAGCTTAACTAGGAGGACCCCCCACCCAGTAATGGTGACTATAAGGGAAACTGGTGATTATATTAGTCTTCCTTATTGTCCTACTATACCATCATTACAGAAACCGAAGCCCAAGGGTGGGCAGTTCGGCCTAAGTTCTAGCACCTGTTCGCCAGAGATGGTTGGCTATGATCTGGGAGTGTTTTCCCTTCCCCTAAACCCTAAACCCTTTATAAAAACCAAACCCTTTCCTGGGGTTGAAATGGTTGGTATGAAGGGCTATTGTATTCGGGAACTCTTAATGGCAAGGACTAGAACGTTTAAGGTCTACATGAGCTATAGTCTAAACTCCTAGTATCCCCCTTAATAAGCCCTAGACTATTCCCCTATATAATCCCCTAAACCCTAAACCCTAAATCCTAAACCCTAAACCCCCGTTTAAGGAGTTCCGACTATAGTTTATATAGGGTTTGATCTGGATAGATTTCAGTTTGGGCTTGGGTCTATTCGAAATGAACAACTGGGATAGATGTAATGGGTCTAGGGTTTAGGGTTTAGGGTTTATCCACACATGTTATTGAAGAATTTCTGCCTCGTTCTTTTCCAAAAAGGGACCATATCCCATATACATAATTAGCCTGGATGATGGCATTACCCAAGCCTACACCCTATTTGTCTTCATGTATTGGCTAGGTATGGATATGTTCAAACACGAGTGTCATCAATAATCTAGACTAAATGGGTACAGGGTTTAGGATTTCAGGTTGGGTGTACTTGGTAGGATAGTCTTTTAACATACTATAGACTACAGGGGACCATGAGGCAATAGCTGGTTAACACTAGGACTTTCCCTACTTACGATGTTGGAGATCATGAGTGTGGAGCTCAGCTTTAGGGATTTGAGTTTGGGAGCTTCCAGGTTGTCCTGGTTCAGTGAGCAATTCCAATGAGTCACTCTGAGTCATGGTCAGGGTCTCTGCCACAGCATACGATTAACTACGCAGGGGTTTACAAGTAGCTAGGGTTCGTGGCTTGTAGAATTCATTCCCTAGAAACCACTCATTGGACTTTATGGGCTTAAAATAGAAATCATTGGGCAATCAGTCGAGTTTCACAGGCAAACACTATGAGCCCACACTACAGGGAACCACGGAGGGTGCTGAAGGAGGAAGCTAATGCTATAGTACCTTAAACCCTAAACCCTGACCCTTATCCTATCGTACCCCAAACCCCGAACTAACATGGAACCCCAAAAGAGTTCAGGGCTTAGGGTTTGGGGTTAATTAAGGGTTGAGGGTTTAGGGTTTAAGGGTTTAGGGTTTGGGTTTAGCATGGAATCCCAAAAAAAGAGTAGGCTTCCAATTTGGGTTGTCTGGGTGAAGCGGATATCTTGCGTCACCCTATGTACCTTATATCCGTACGATTGAGATCCTAGGGGGTGCAAAGTTACCGAGTTGCCCTCCATCCAGCATCTGAAATCTAAACCCTAGCCCCTACACTTTTTACCTAGTCCCTAGAGTCTCTTTCCTGAGCCATAAACCTTGAAGCCAGACACTTGATCCCAAACCCTTACACCCTAAACCCTTCACCCCAGTCCCAAACCCTAAAACCCTAAATCCTTAAACTCTACCTCCTTCCCGGGCAAAAGGCATGCCATCCTCGTTCGCAGCGTCCAGGGACCGCTTCGTGGCATCAAACTGCAATGAGGTTCTCTCCAGCCTTCAGGGGTTTAGGGTTTAGCGTTTAGGGTTTAGGGTTTAGGGTTCAGGGTTTAGGGCTGGGTACTGCCCCCACTCTGTAACAGTCTACATTAGGGGTCATATTAAGGGCTGTATATCTATGTATATATATATACATATATTATATATATGCATGTGTAACAGTAGTGCAAATATTGTCCAACTGTTAGGGGGGGGGGGTGGGGCAGTACCCAAGCTTTAGGATTGAGGGTCGAGGGTCGAGTGTTGAGGGTTTAGGCTTGAGGGTCAAGGGTTGATGGTTGAGTGTTCCGGGTTTAGGGTGTAGAGTGGCGGGTTTAGGGTTGAGGGTCTTAGAGTTTAGGGTCTGGGGTTTAAGATCTAGGGATACTCGAGGATCAAATGGAAAGCCACATCCAAAATGAAATGGAACGTACTGTAAGGTTTGGGTTTCGAGCTTAGGGAAATGGAAAAAACATGAACTGAAAACTAGGCGTCTAAGGTATGTATACATCTATATACACATTTGTATATATATATA